ATTATCATTTTCTTTATTTCCCATCATCTTTTGCCATTATTTTATTTTTAATTTTATCTTTATAAACATTGGTTAACATTTCTTATAACTATTATCACACTTAAGTCTCTAATGTACTGCATACACCTCTTTAGCACAAACTACACCTGACACCAACAACTCTAGGTTATGATTACCTAGTTCTCAAGGCTAACTCGTATTGCACATCCAGTTTATGTGACGTCGATATCTGTGCTTATATATTTCATTACACTCGTTAAACATAACCCTTTATTCTCCTAAGGAAGAAGAATGAACTATTCAAAAGCACTCAATTTTGGGTCTTGGGTTTGAAAACCATTACAACTTTTGTATGTGATCCTGTGTGCTAACTTCATAATCAGAATTTGTATTGCAGGGTATTGTTGTACATATGTATAAATAACTGATAGTGTGAAGTAATCACTGTTAAGTTGTTGTTTTTTTTTCTTTATTACAGAACAATTGCCAGTACTTTATCGTTAAAATTTTTCATTTGTAGTCAGTTTATGTTAAAGGCTTGTGTGTAAGGTAAAATTACTTCAAACCTAACTCTCCAGTAAAGGCAACTGTCTATTGTGACAAATATGATACATTTTAAGTTTAAGTAAAGATTTTTTATTGTGATTGTACATTTGAATTCAATCTCTGTATTTCTTGAGGTCTCTGTTATTCAGATAATAAAGAATTATTTCACATGAAATTTCTTGATGAATCTCCCATTATTCTGTGGACCTATCCTGTCACTCATGAGAGAAATAAGTTTTACCTGAGAAAACTACAAGTCTTAGGCATTTCAATTTTTAATGTTTATTTCTTGTAATCTGGAATACAGTGCACAAAAGAAGGAGCCTTGTGGGTTGGAAAAGCATACTAATGATACCCCAAAACTATGTCCAGTGGCCTAAGACACTGTGGGATATAATGATGAAGTGTTGTACAACATATCTTGACCATTCTTAGTGAATCATCCTACAATGACTTCAGCTTGATGCAACACGCAGTTGAGGATGCACACATCTTCAGATTCTTAAGAAAAGATGGCCTCCCCCAAATGTGAAGAAAATGACAAAATATTTTCTTTCCTTCAGTTTTGTTACTTCATCCAATTACATCTCAATGCCTATATATTTATAGACTTAAGTTTCAGTGTTGTTGAATTTGCTGTAAGTTGGTTGATTAAAAAAAATGCTTGGGTATCTAGAAAAACACATATCATTTGCATTAAGTTTTAAAGTTCTAATAACTTTAAGCCATCACAAGTAAATAAATCTTTTAAATTGCTGCTGCAAGCCTTCAAGAGTAAGAACTTACAATTGTTTAAGCTTTGGTAGATTTAAGAATTTACCTTTTCGTTGTTTTTTTTAAGAGTTTTTTCATGTACAGGTAAATGAAACTGTTTGCTAGAAAAGATAATTGTACTGTTTTTTTTTATCTTCATTTTTTTCTGTTAGACCATAAATGCCTCCCTGTCTTCTGAAAGGAATCCATCCACTACCATGATAGAGGTTGGTGAAAGTTCAAACTGTCATCCTATGGATAAAGGTAACTCACATGCACAAGTATTTTTTTAGAAAGGACTTGCTGAAACTTGACGATAGTTGCTTAAATGTAACTGTGCTTCATTTGTTCCATTATTAACCATTCAGAAGTGGCTTAGAATGCACCATTTTAACTTCAAAAGAGAAAAAAATACAATTACAATGAAATGAGAGAAACCCTCTTCTGTGTTTTTTGTTATTTAAGATTTTTACCACTCACAGGGGACCGGGCGAATGAAACCTGGTTATGCCGTAAAGCCCGCAAAGTATCTTT